CTTCATGTACTTTCAGCCGTAAAGTTTCCTCTATTAGCAAATTTCTAATCCAAGGCCATACTTACAACCAGCTATATGTTCATTCTCTGTCTCTCAGACAAACTGAGAAAAGGCTACTGTAAATCCAAGAACATGCTTAATGGAGTTTTGAGGGGGGGCTGTTTTTCTCTAAAGATAGTTCTTACCATCTTTCAGGCAGATGGTTTTAGGGCATTAGATGCAGTGTCTCAGTCACTCTTTTCTTACATTCATTCAAAACACCAATGTGAGTTGGTTACAGCCATTTGGTTTGCTTTGTAGCTTGCCCAATAATCTAACATATGGAATTTCTATTCCTGACTTTCTACAAGACTTGTAACACACCAAATCTCTGACGATTGCCCTTTGTAATTTGTAAGGTTACATTGCACCTAATAAAATTTATGTCTCTTTGATTATCATGGTTTGTTTTTTTTTTTTTTCCCAAAACATGCAGAAGCAGGCAAGAAACACTACAGAACAATAAAGATAATATAAATCAGGTAATTAAACAGAAGCTCTTAGGTTGCCACTGAAGGCTCATAAGAAAAGCCAATTGATAACAGTAAGGTCTTGTTTTGTTTGCAGCAACCTGTACTTGCTTTTTTTGAGAGGTTATGGTTAACTTCTGCTCTGCCTCAAGAGTGGTCTTAAATAATTTGAACCACTGGGTCCAGAAGACTAGACAGAGAAGCAGCACAAGAGGAAAAAGAACACAAACAGCTTGAAAATGTGAGTTGGAGGTGGTAGGGCAAGCAGCAAAGAATCAAGTTACAGTAACTTGTTACCTGTGCCTGTGAGAGGAAATAAGGAGTTAGAAGGTTATACGAATCACAAAAAAAAAAAAAAGGTAACTGTTGAAAAGATGCTACAGAACAACTGAAATTCAGTCATTACTATGTAAGACCAAGAATGCACTATGCTGGCTCTTTGTTTGGTGTTGTTTTGTCTCTACAAAAACCCTAGGGTTTGCCATTTTCCTCCCAGTCAGTTGATACTAAAGGTATTGAATTTTCTCAGCATCTCATCTACTGCCATCTTGTATCTGCATCAAAAACTGCATGAGTGCGTCAAGCAGGCGGGAACAAGGGAGTGGGAAGATCTGTGCAGCCCCAAGTGAACAGAGCTGCTGAGAGAGCAAAGAATGGGGCAGGCAAATCTGCTGTCCATCAGATGCTTGCTTCACACACTCCTCCCCTAGCTCAAGATGTATCTGCTCCCCTTTACGTGCTGACAGACAAGGTAAGAGCAGGGATAGAGGTGGCTACTATGGAAATAAGCAAAGATGCTCTCAGTAAAATACCTCTTCACCTGCTCAACCCCAAGCAGGTATCTTGCCCATTCGGAAAGGTTTGCCCAGGCTCAGCCTTAAGCTTCCTGAAGACATAGTACAAAAGCACACTCACTTTTGAAGAGGATGGACAAAGAAATTGGGAAAAATTCCTTCACCAAAAGGGTTGTCAAGCATTTGAACAGGCTGTCCTAGGAAGTAGTTGAGTCACCATCCTTGGGGGGATCTATAAAATATTTAGATGTGGCAGTTAGGAACACTGATTAGTGATGGACCAAGACTTGGCAGTGCTAGGTTAACAGCTGGGCTCAATGATCTTGGAGATCTTTTCCAACCTAAATGATTCTAAGGGATCAGAGTTTATATTTAGAATTATAGTACACACTGTTTAATACTGACATTTTTACAGGTCTTCTGCGATGAACTGTTCATATGTCTGGCTTGCACATTTGACAGTATCCTCCTACACCTACTCAATTTAGGAAAGCTCATTTTAGGAAAGGGGAAGAAGCCACAGATAAACTATAAATACAGCAGCAAGAATCACATTGACTGAACATTTTCTTTGTAACTGGAAGCATTGTGGAAAATAGAACAGGAAATAGCAGAAACCACCTAAAAAAAGTCACGGTTTAATAGTGCAAACATCATGGACAATGAGAGGACTGCATCCTCTCAGCTTGAAGAGGCAGATAAAGCAGAATGAAAAACAGGGGTAATTTATCCAGACTGCAGGAACACCACTGCACAAAGAGCTGGTCCGTGAGGAGAGCAAGGACAAAATTCTTGAGTGCACAAAGCAGCAGCTTGGGGCAAGCCTTGCAGCTGTCTCAGAAGGAATGTGCACTTTCCATAGGTATTAAAATCTGCTGAAACAGGTGAAAGATGGAAATAAATACAGACTTAATTCATGGCAAGCTATATAGGCTAAGAATATAGGAAAGTAAATGACTTAGCATAGGGGAAGTTTGAGGCAATAGGTCATGCAAAAAGTGATGAAAAGGTCACAGCAATTATGTATAGCCTTTTGGATAAAAGAATCCACTGCAGAGTCTCTGGATGTACTTCCAGCAATGTTAAGACATTGCTTCCAGCTACTGGATGACAGCACATCCTGGATTTATAAGTATTCATTGTCAGGATGTACACCCTGCATTTTGGGAAACTTTGTTCTAGAACATGCTACAGTGCCATTACTCCACACCCTCTCCCTTCTCCCATCAACATACAAAAGACAGCTTTGAGGAAGGCAGGTCCATATTAATTCTTAAAGAACTATAAGCAGACAATCAGTCAGGCTTTCCAGCAGATACTCGACTACAGCGTCCTGGAAAGGATCTGATTCCAGCTGACAAAGGTATCAATGTTTCCAAGTTTGGTTCCTTAGGAGCAGACTATAACTACAACATGACAAGACAGACAGACAAGGGTAAGCCATTTCAAGCCTTCATCCCACTGTACACCATGCTTCTGTGTTACCAGTTTTAGTCTTGGGATATTTGTTGATCTTTATTTTGTTCTTATTCCAGTCCTATTCATGCTTGCATTTTTTCAATGCAAATGTGCACATTTACACACAGGTTTCTCCCCAAACTGTCCATAAAGTGCTAATTTTTCCCAGATGGATTTGTTCTCATTTCCACTCAATCTTGAGATGGTCTCAGATGAAAAAGCACCACGGCACAGAAGGTGGGTGTCCCCATTCTCCATGTGAAGCTTGGAGAAGCTTCTGGCTGCCTCATTCTCTGGAGAACAAAGCAGCAGGACAGAGGGCAAGTGAATACCAACACAAAGATCTGTGTTGCCCCAAGAGGCACATCTGCCTCCTCTTCTTTTGGTGGAGCAGTTGGAGACTGTCACTCTGGGAGCAGCACAGCATGCAGAAATACACAGGACAAAGAGTGATGCAGGTTGTGTTAGTCTGGCACAAGATGAGACGCACTGAAGGACAGGAACTCAAGACATATTAGAAGACCAAGCACTAAACTTATATGCCTTCTCTGCTCTGTTGGCTCCTTTTTTTGTACACCACCATGCCACTTTTTAAAAGAGATCTCATGAAAAATATCAGTGAATCTAATCTAACCTTCTTTGTGTTCTAAATATGCAAACCACAGAATACTTTTAATAATTTGACACATCATTGTTCACAAAACAAGGGAAAAGAAGCTGCATAAATGAAATACTTTGCAGCCTTTATTAAAAGAAAGTACATCTAGAAATGATCAGATGATGCTGAGGTAAAGTCACCTACAAAACAAGACAGATTAGCATCACCCACTGATTGTTGATCCTGGTGGCACTAGAGGCAAACTGGGAAGGGCTTTAGGGCAACTTTGTACTCATAGATTGTAGCAACGAAGAAAGAGTTGTAAGCAGAAACAAAGAATTAAAAGATAGGTAGTAAAGCAAGTTCCTTCTTTCTCACTTTACAAATTTAATCTACTGTGGTGCAAATCCAGACCATTGATTCAAATACTATTTTACTGGATTTCCATTTGTTTTGCCTGTGCTCCTACATTAATCCAAACAATAAGGGCCTTTAAAGCATTCATAAATAACCTGCTGCTGCTGGCACCTAGGAGCCAAGTGCAGCAATGTTAAGCAACAACAAATTTCATAGTTCAAGAGGCACAGTTAAGGAAAAAGGTTGCTCATAAAATCACTCTCATTTAGCACAAAGATCCTTAAAAATTGCATGAAATCAGTCAAGTAACTATAGAAACCAATTTCTTCAGCTCTGTATCACACGTCTCACACCTCAATTGTCTTTATTATCGTCTGCTGTCAGATCCTTAATCAGAAATGTGAACAGGCTTGATGATTTATTCAGCAGGGACAAGAATCTGTAGGTCAAGTGAAAAATTTCACACACACATACACACGCACACACATCTTCAACCTTAGGTACTTTCATTTCATTCTGTTCCCAGTAGCTTTGGGGGCAACTCCAGTGAGATCCAATATTAAGGCTCAATTAAAATAAGCTCCAATTAGTGGAGCTTTTTTCTCTCAGGCTAGAAAAGTCAGGAAATGGATATTGGGAAATGTAAAAAGTCAGCTACTGAGAGGAGGCTGCAGACATAAATGAACTTATTTGTTGATTTCTACAGTTGCTATGCAGAGGCCTCTGGGAGTAAAAGCTTAACCAGTCTAAGCTATAAACTAAAACCCCTGCAGCTAAACATGAACTGTGTGAAACAAGGGCTCCATTCCAGAACAGAAAACTGCTGGGCCCAGAAAATTAAAAGCCAGAGGCGTTTTCCATTTAAAACTAAATCCCAGTACCGCCTCCCAGCCAAAGAATTATAAGCAGTATCAGATTTACAAAACGAACAATTACCCTGGAAAAATGTAGCCTATTGTACAGTCCCAGATGCTAAATCTCAAAGTTTCTTTTTTTTTTTTTTCTAATCCCACATTTTATTCCTACCAAGTGTACTGCTGCAGTTTACAAAGGACTGCTTCGAGACAGGACTGAAACTGCAAAAATAAAATGTTAAAAAAAGAGAGCTCATAATTCATTGACCTCATTTGAAGCACTGCCCTTGCCTGTGGCAGTTCCTGTCCTTCCCCAAGGCCTCTGCAAATGGTATGCAGCAGCAAAATAAACCCTGACCTAATTGCCAGGACAGGGCTGCCAACCTCCTCTCAACACACAAAGGCAAGCATGGTAACTGGAAACTCCTACCTCTTTTGCTTTCTGCTTTAAGCGCAGTTGCTCTGGATCTTCTTTATTGGAACGGCTCTGCCAAAGGAAGAAGAAAAAGATTGAATAGAAATTACTGGTGTCCAAACACCATCCTATCTGTTGAATATTTAATAAATGACAGTTTTCTCTGGTGATTGAGAGATTTAGCTCCAGGGGTGAATGCCTCAATCCAGACGGGCTTCCATCCCCCTCCACACACATACGTGCACACCCCTCCTCATCTGGGCCGGCTGCCTCTGCTCTAGCCAGAGGCAAGATTAAGCTGAAAATGATGCTAACACTGTCAGTCAGGTCCAGTCTAGGCATGATGTTGTTCATGTCAGCAGCAGACACTTAAAAAAGGACAGGAAGTATAGGAAAGAAAGGAGTTCAGTCCATGCAAGCACAACACTGTTCCTTCAACCCTAGATCAGGCTTCCACCCAAGTGGCTCCAGAATTCAGCCTGAAACAAAACCAAAAGAAAAGAATCAACAGAAGATGGTCAAGTCACAGCTGATGAAGCAACATCTACTGTCATAGCTTTTTTTTTTTCCCTCCTCTTCCTGAGGGGAAGGAAGAGAGAAGAAACTTATTCTGTACTAGCAACAGCTCCACCAGGGGCTCATGGATCCTGTGGTACCAGCTCCAAGGCTAGCCCTCTGAACTTGACTACAGAAACAAATACACCTGCAAAGGTGGTGGATCTCACCAGGCTTCTGTTTCAGAGGCAAAAAGAGATACAGGAAGGACATTTATAGAGTTTTACTTAATTTTTTAATCTCAAAAGGGCAGTTCACCCCACCACACATTTCAAAAAACTCCTGTGGACTTTTTAAAAAATGTAAATAGGTTAAATCCTTTTTTGTATAGCCTCAATTGTCCTAAACATTATAGATTTTCAGTGACAGAATTAATGGTTACTATACTTAAAGCAGAAGTAGGAGAAATCTGAAGATGCTCACCAATCTAGAGGACATGACTACTTCCTTGGAAACCTAGAGTCTTACCTTGGCTGCTCGAAGCAACATTTCACGTTCCTCTTCATCTTTTCTCTGCTTTTCTAGGTGATCAAGCTTCTCAAGAAATCTCAGTTGTGCTCTGGTGTCACTACATACAATGTACTTATCGCTTCCCTGAAAAAACAAGTTTGTTATAGACAACCATGAGCTGATAAACCTAATGGGAACAACCTGAGAAGAACAACACTATTTTTCAAGGCTGAAAAGTGTGGGCTGTTTTATCAAGACTTCAGGTGGTAGGTAGTCATTTACACATCTCCTCTCCACTGAAGTATGCTTCCAGGTGACTGTGACTAGTCAGAGGTTATTGAACAAGTGACATTAACAACATCCAGTCTATATTGACTATAATAATAGAAGTCTTCCCTAACCTTAGACTAAAGACTAAAGAAATTTTGTTTTAAATCATCAACTTAATATCCAGTAAACATGTCAGGAAAAGAAAAGGGAATTGTAAAGAAGCAGGACACAATCTCTTTTCTACCTTGAAGAAAAAAAAAATTAGAATTTGACATTATAAGTTTCTAGTGCTTTGTGTTCCAGTTTCAGCCATTTAATGCAGAAGTTGAAACAAGCATGACGTGGAATTACCAAAAAGATGATTTATGTATTGGAGAGGTGGTCTAGAACCAGTTATAATGAATCTTAGGGGTGAAGAAGGTGAAATATATTATATACGGTTTATTATAGCTTTAAGAATACATATTTTTGCCTCAGTGAATCTTTTGAGTCCCAGGATAGCTTATGTTGAAAGGTAACCTAGGGAAGTCATCTGGTCCAGCCACCTGTACAAAGCTGGGCCAGTGAATACTAATGATTAGATTTAGTCCAACAATCACTGGACACATGGGCATTGAAACAGGACTGAGGTCCTTTTGGTCTCAAGAATATCAATCAGTAGTTTATTTTATGTTTTATTTTTGCCCCCACTGGAAAGCCTGAGTTGACATTTACTTTAGCTCAGAAAGGCAGAGAAAGGAAAGATCCCAAACATGGTCAACTGGCAATGAAAAGCCTGGTTTTACTATTCTGCTCTTCCCAAGACAGACTTCTTGAGCCATGCGTTGGCCAGATGGCAATTAGGCAACACAAGACAAGGAGCCCACTATAGATGAGGCATGTCTGTGCCACCTGTTTGTACCACTTTTTAGTGCACGTCCTACAGCTGTCTTCTTTCTCTGTTACTTTGTGAACTTATTTTATTTTTTTCTTGAGAAACTTATCCTCAAGCATTTATCAGCCAAAACACTATGCGCTTCCGGTGACTCTTTGTTCTATCTCACACCAGGCTCACATTGTAATGAAACAATTCTGACATACCACTATTCTAAAAGAAGCACAGGATATTTTACAGCTGTATTTTAGGCAAGGTTATATGTTAAGTATATGGACTATCCATGACTTCAGTTACTCAGTTTTTAGTTTTCAAGGATAATATACTCAGACTCTTGTTCTCACACCCAGCTGTGCACTATGAAAAGACAGAAGGAAAGTAAAAGTTTTTTTGTGGAGCACTGTTGTCTTCTGATCTGAATTGTCACAACTGAGTCAGAGCATGAAATCAATCCCTTTTCTGGTATTACGTTTGGTCCTTTTCAATGAGCCACCTCATTGTCACGTATTACCAACTGTGGCTCAAAACACACCATATGCTGCAACAGAGACCTTCTCAAGCAGCATCTGTGGCTCTGCAAAAAAGTCCAACAAACCTTTTCCCCTCCACTTCTGTCACTGCTCAAGTCTTTTTTAACTGCTCCCCACAAAGCATAAGCTATTTCTGAGTCATTCTCAGTACATCAGTACAACTTGTTTTGAAGCAGCAGTTTATAATAATCCACCACCATGCCACAATCCTTTTAAAAGGACAAAGAAGAAAGCTGTAGTACCAGAAGATTATTTTTTCCAAAGTTTAGAAGTGTTTCGCTTTGGAATAGCCAGATATTTACATATTTTAAGACAAATCCATGACCCTATACCAACCAGCAATATAAATGTCTCAAGCAGAAGCTCCTCAATGCACTACCATGAGCTCATATGGGACAAGAAATAGGTGCATCCGTAACAGTATTTCAGCTCATCACCTGTTTTAAGATAGCTTATTTCAGGAATTTTTAAAAGAGGAACACCTGCAGTTATATTTTGTCCTACTCAATGACCTTCTCTGTGGTCATTTAGCAGGGCATTGCTCAGACAGAAAACATTACATTGTAGCCCTGTTCATGACTTGTAGCCAGTGCTCTTATGATGAAGCATAATCACCTACATCCCATGGCCCTACAGGTAATGCAGTTTAGGGCTGTGGCATTTCAGCACTACTGCATGAAGGGAAAATGTGTTCAGGGTGCATCATTTATAGCTCAGCACCACACCATGCCTCTCAGAGCCATGAGCTCAGGGGCTCCAACCACAGAAGCATGGCAGCTGATCATGATTATGAATCCACATAAAAACCTTTTCCCTTTATGGTCTTCCAAAAGTTATACAAGCACTGCAACAAGAGCTGCATCACAGAGAGCAGCTCCCAACCATCTGAAAGGCTATTCCTACTTCACATAAAGAGACCACCATCATAGCTTTATCCCAATTAAGTCAGTGGCTTCCAAATATAATTTCTTAAATTTAACAAAAAAAGGACTACAGTTGACAAGTCTACATGATGGCATAGCATGAAGCTTATACCCTGCCAATTCACTTTCCCTGCAGGGCTATCTGTCAGATGAAAGCTGCTAGGCATGAGCTGAGCAGACTGGGAAGAAGAGTTTCCTGACTATGATCCCATCAATTACTGGCCTTTTTACACCAACTCCTACCCTAACAATAGTTACTTTGGTTTCACCACAACTAGCCCTATTACTGTATTTTTGTAATGAAGATAGGCCATTACAAAGCCCCTTATGGAGCAACCACCCAACCCTCCTGGAAAGACTCTGGGAATTTATCTGACATAGATGTAGCCCACACTGTGCAGGGGTACCAATCAAAAGCCATGAGGGAAAGGAGAACAGGGGGTAAGCACCAGGGCAGATGGAATACAGGGCTGTATAAATACCTCTATTAATACATAACAGGACTCCAGCATCATGCAGTGTTCTCTTCTTGAACTTAAGATCTCTAAAAGCCTGTCAGCATCCCTCACAATAACATTGCTCAGGTAATCCTGTAGGACACTCCTCTGTCGCGTAATACCATCTTCCTAACAAAAGAGGGTATCTGCCTCTAAGATTACTGTGCCCGTTACTTTTGATTTTTTTGTTTGTTTTGCTTTTGAGAAAAGAGGAAAAGAAAGCCAGTTTATTGCAATCTTATAATCTTATCATTGCTTCTGGCAATTCAATCAGACAAAAACCTGTTTTTCTATTGCTTTAGTTCAATGAGAAAGAAACTAGCCCTATCCAGCCTACTGTCCAAAACCATTTCCTTCTGTTCTTGGTGTCTGCAAGACACCATGTCCTACTGGTTACTCTGGACTTCAGCTTCCTCCTCACTTTTGCTCACAAGCTCAATTGTACCTCCCACTTCGGAGAAAACAACATACAACAAGTGCAGATTTCTGAAGTATTTTCATTCAAAAACCTCTGCCTGTTCTGTATTGATTTTCTTTTCTATAACATCTTCTTCTGGCAAGGAACACAATACTCCTGCTGCTCCAGAAATACCATAAATACTCAGAAGTTTCCAAATGGTTGCTCCTCTTTACTACTATTGCTGCTCCAGTGCTGAAAAGCCTATAAAACGTGTTCAGTACAAAAATAACTCCTATCAGTTGGCTGCTCTTGTTAAATTTCATTAAGCATAAAGTTCTTGTAAAAATACTCAACCTGAACAAACATGAAACTATGAGTTGATAGACACATTTGCTTCTCAATTCTTTTTTTCCTAGAACAGCTTCACATTGTAAGCAAGGATTAGTATCTATTGAATGACAAAAGAAAAAAGAAAGAACTGGTTTGGCCAGTAAATTATCACTTCCCATTTGCACCATACAAGCATCTTAAGGGATACTAGCTCACTGGGACACAATATATATTGAATAAGCTAAAAAAAGATTTAAGATTAAAAAAAAATCTTAAGATGAAAAAAAATCTTAAGATGAAAAGGGCCTCTGCCTTCATGAAGCATTTTCTAAAAGTAAAATAATCAATTCCTCTTCCCAAGGCTTTTTACTGAGGCAATACTGACTGCAATTCCACCAATACTATATGCATAAGGAAAACACAAGACCCTAAATCAACCCACCATCAAGAGCATTCAAAATTAGCTTTCCATTTACCATTAAAAGAGACTTTGTATAACAGCTACCACTGCTAAGGAAGAGAAGAAACACATGTATTTAGTCTTATACTGGGTTTTAAGAGCACCTGTCCAACAATCAAAGGGAACAGTTATATGCTGGGCTAGACACAGCTAAAACCAGCCTTTGGTAGATACTGAGAACGCAAATGTTGCCTGTAATGTGCCCACACTTGGAAGGAGTTTTACCTTCAAGGCTGCAAAGCAGGAAAACTTTGTGCAAAACTTGCTAATGATTTCCTTTACCTTGTGGGTTGATACTCTGTGCTGAGCAATTACAGTTAGTTTTTCTAGGAGTCCTCGTAATCTCTCCTGTGTAGCATGGGAGATGAAGTTCACAACATCAGAGTTAAGTTCCATAATGTCATGCCTTTTACCTGTGGAAGCAGAGAAAATCCATTACGTGTTTTAGTAGTAGCTGATAATTGAAATAATTAGCACAGCAGGTATTCTGTTCCCCCTGGAAGTCATACCCATTATGAATAAAGGTTTGGAGATTATGATTTTCCTGGTAAAGTCACAACTTCAAAGATCTTAGACATTACATTAATAAAACTTAGCCTGGAGCTTCAGAAAATATAGACATTGTTTCACTTAGCCTCCAGAACCACTCTCCTTGCAAGGTCATTTATAGGACAAAGTTAATAAGAACACAAATCAAGCTTCATGTTCAGGGAGGGGGGAGAAGCAGTAGCTGTAGAAATTAGTGCCATATTCTGTTAATTCCAGTAATTAAAAAAATACAGAATTACATTTTGCCCTGCTTGACACCGTGCTTGTTAACAACTCATGACATTTATTTGACGAGCAGGAATGGGTTTTGCAGCGCACTCCAGGCACACGAGACCCTCCAAACTGCCTTGACTGACCGACACGGGGCAGACAGAGCCGACCGGCCCACAGCAGCCGCTCGGACAGCGCAGATTCCATCCTGCCGCCAGCTTCAACCTTTCCTCTCGGGCTGCCGCCGCATCTCCGCATCTCAGCAGCTGCGACCGAGGCTGGTGACAGCTCCAGGCAGGGCTGCGCTGGCCCTGCACCCAGAGCTGGGCATCACCTCTGCGACCTTCCCGCGGCTGCAGGCTGCCGACAGAGAAGCCTTGCCATGGCTGACACCATCCATCACTCAGCGCGGCTCCAGAGACACCTGGGCAGCAGCGGCGTTTCCCTGGTAGGCACGGCAGGCAGCAGTTCCACATGCCTCATACGTTGTACCTGTCAGAAGCACTTTTCCTTGCCCTACGCTGCATTTATAGCAGCTGTAATACTTTATGATGCAATATACAGCACGCCTTCAAAGCCCATTTCAGTATTTACTGCCAAGTGAAGTGTTAAGAATGGATAAACAGCGCACTGTAAAAGAACTAATCACCTATTCCATTTGCTTTTGCTACTGTAACTGAAAATTAATGACAATCTCACAAGGCCGGGAGAACCTAGAATGTTGTCCCAGATACAATCAACCCTGATCAACCCTGTCTGATCAGTAAGCACTGGCCTTAACAGACTGCAAAGCTCATTTTGCTCAAGCACTTTTCCATACTTCTTCTGCAGCTTCTCACTAGACTATCATATTACTGAAACACCAACTTAAAGACGAAATAAAATCCCCCCAAACCTCAAGACCTCCCTGCACACATGCAGACACAAATTTCTTAATCCAAAGATGGCTCAGTTCAAAAGCAGACGTGTTAACTTTCTGAATTGCTCTACTCCCTGGCAGCATTCCTTTCCTTGCAAACAAGCACTCATCATTTATGACCTGAATTACTGACATTATTGTTGTTATTATTAATTTGGAACAACTACCATTCTAGCTATGAAACAGCCAGGCTTCTATTTTCCATCTTTCAACACCTTGTCTTTATATCCACAACCAGCAAATTATTCTAGAAATACTCTCTCTGTTTTTGCAGAGCTCTTTATTTTTCCTTATACCCACTTATTCCCACAAATGACTGATTAATCTTCTATTGAACTTTGAGAACAACTTCTAGGCACCAGGTCTGATCTGCATTTTCCCTTTGCCACTAGTAACACAGCATTTGTTATGCCCCTTACAGCTCGAGATGACACATCTGGCTGACCAGGGCAGGAGCACCAAGGTCACAGGTAGCACTTGCAGGTTACGTGCTTGTCACCGGCTAGCTGCTCTCTCTGGACTAAGAACCAGTTGTGTGTGGAAACAGAAAGACTTTGTGAACACATGGTCAAGCCACTGTGACAGAATTGTGACTGCACGTTCAGGCTTCCCTGGATGCTCAGCTGTAAAATTCAGTGTTTCAGTACAGCAAGTAGCAAGCAGAGGGCATAAGCAAGGAGCAACATGCATCAAGTTTGCTGTTGACAGCAGCAGGACCAGCCAGTGTGCTGCTACACAGCTGCATGCTCCCTGCTCTGACATAATACAACATTATTAAGCAACATGTATTATTTTTGCTCAAAAGGTAACAGCTGAAATGATATCTACACTAGAAACTTCCTGTAACACAGGCATTCAATGTACATTCCACAGCATTATTCATTATACATACAAACTGCTTCAACATCTCTTTTTTCCATGGAGGGAGTCATAAACAAAGCTCTGCTCTGCGTGTATTGGAAGTTTGAAACTTTTTCCTAATGTTAGTCAATAGAGTACATATTCCTGAACCACCTCAGGAATGCAAAAATTGTTAGGGAAATCAGTGTAATGCACCAAGTTAGAAGCTGCTGAGACAAAAGCAGATTTAAGTGTTTTGACACTAGCACCTTTATGGTTGTTAAGTGTTGCATTAGGTTTAAGAGTAAGAAAGTCGCTCATTTCTCACATGTTAAAGTGGCATCAGTTTCTTTTTTCTGGTTGTACTTCAGACTGTTTCCATGTAAAGAAAACCTTAAAGGATAGTTGCTTCCTAGAAGGGGAAGTGAAAACTTATTATTGTTTCGTAGAAACATATGAGATGAACTGAGATGGCAGATCATAACAGTTCCAGGTCCTTCTTCAAAGACTGGAGGCTGGCTGATGAAAGAGGCAAGGAAACACTACATCCATACATATCTGCTATGTGTGCTTTGTTCTCACCTATGTTCATGATCTTACTCTGAAGAGCTTCCAAAGACAGAAATGGTTCATCTGCGCAAGAGTGAATCACTGTGCCAATGAGCTCAGAGTTTGTTGCCAAAATATAGGCATTCTCCTCGCTGAGATTAACCCCAGCCATAGAAGTCACATCATTTAGGTCATCTTCATCTCTACAAAAGAGAATACCAACACTTTATGCTTTGTTCAGAATAGACAAAAAGAAAAAGTCTCAACTGTCAACAAGCAGCCACATTAACATATCCTGTATACAATAGATGTTCAGTGTGGGTGTGGACAGGGAGCTCCTAAAAGCTCTCACACTTCTTCAAGGTGCCTCTGAAACATTAATTTGGCTAATGCCTCAGTTGCTAGGCATGCAAATCCTTTATATGAAACTGAAATTTTGAGCCACCTTGGAAACCTAGGACTGAGTTAAAGCCAGATTAAAAGTTCCCACAAGCCCTAACCCTGCACCACCACTCTTGCAGCCTGAAATTCGTTCAATAACTAATTCACCAGGTAGAACCAAGTGTGGAATGAAGTTGTATGTTGACTCACTGGACTATAAACAACCCATTTTCTAACCAAGATGTACATCTTGCAAACTGAGGCTTTAAGCACAGGCTTATTAGCACAGACATGATCTTCAGTTTTCTTTAGTGAGTTCCCTTAAAACACAGGATACAAACACTCCTTGATTACTTACGAAAACCTATCTAGACTTTGTACTTTGAATCAGTCCTACCACACTTGTGTATATAGCAGGGAAGATGCCACAGCTTCTGAAGCACCGTGCCAGAGCTCTAGCTGGTAACACCATTAGCTGGATTCTCATGTAGCAGCTTTGGACTATGTGTTCAAAATAAAAACTCAGGGTGAACATCACTCAGACTAGCTATAGCAGCCAGTGTGCTTCAGCCCCATGGTTTTTTATAGAGATCATTTAAGTTAAAATACTGAATGAATCTTACATGGAAACTGTTTCTGCACTACTTTGGCAGTGAAACAATCCAAGCTTTTATCAAATGAGTTCAGACCATCAAGAGAAAGCATTTTTACTTCACAATGTGACAAAGGCCCTAATGGTGCCTTCAGGGATTTAGGACCAATCCAAAACAGACATCCATAGTATTAGGACAGATAAGTAAAATCACTCCTCTGAACATCTTTTTATTTGGAAAGCACAGAAAACAAACCCCCTCTTGGAAATTATTCTCTAGCAAGGTTTGATAAAGTTCACCTTCAGAAAACACTGTGTGGCCTCAATAACTCTTGAACAAGGGGTTAGCCAGAAATTTGTTGTTCTAAGGTGAAATGATATTTCTTGGAGGCTATCCTTTGACTGACTAGAGGCAGAAGCTAAAGTTATTAGAACATGAGCTCGCATTGAGGCTAAGCAATACTCAAAAGACAAAATAAAATGTTAGGATATTTTTCTTAAAACTATAGATGCACTTTCTCCTTTGGGTTTCAGTGCACAAACCAATGTGCCATTTCTATGGCACAATTCTTCTGCAAACTTCCAGTGAGAGACCCAGCCAGAAAAGGAGTCCAGCCTTGAGTCCAGCTATCGCTCCTTCCATTTGTGTGCCCTCATTGCTAGCAGCTCCTATGTGTGTATGTTCAGGGAAAAGGAATCTCAATAGATTCTCAAACCAGCTCCAGCTCCTTAGGTCTAACTAGACACAATAGCTTCCCAACTAGGCTTGTGCCCCAAATCCATCATGCTAAGGAAAGGTTAAATTCCAGGACTGTCAGAACAGTTAGATGTCCACAGCTACAATTTAAAGCTGAAGCCAACAGTGCCAGAACAGCTTCCCTCCTCCTACCCCTTCTCAACCAGCAGCTGAACAGCTCCAAGTGTAATACTCAGGCTCTATCAGCCTAACAGAGACTCTGAACTTTCAACAAGCGTGTCAATGAATCTTCATGGGATGATAATTGAGTGCTAACTGATCTTCACAAGTACATTCCAGTTTCCTCTTCCTAGTGACCACTACAGAGAAATCTTTGCTGATGGCAGAGACAAGAATCCCACTGAAGCACAGCAACTGCCACAGATCTGCTGACAAAATCAGCACAACCAGCACCAGGAACACACATCACAAGCTCTTGGTGCTGGAACCTGACATTACTCCAGTGGAACTGTTTATGGAATCCCAGGAAGGATGCTTGCATCCCAGGTACAACATGCAGTTTCAGGAAATAATTTCTTCTTTTAATCTGGCCACATACTGAAAACACTCAAGCAAAGAATAGATAAACTTCTATCAATTTTTCTACATACAAAAGTTTCATTTCTTTATAACCTGTCTCTACCAGGTTACTATTTTCTTGATTATTTCCACACACAGTCTCTCTAGCATGTACAAGCATACAAGTGTTTATATGCAAGCAGACCTGTACTGTTCTTCAGTACCAATTCTAAGTTTTTCACTGTGAGACATAAGTTTGCATTAAGTCAAGCTTTGATGAAATACATGAAAACACTGTTGCACTTATTTTACTTAACCCAAAGAAATTGCCACTATATTCCTTAGAAAAGTGCTCACTAAAGATTAATGGAAGTTTCAGAAGCCATGGTAAGTTCATACTTTTTACTACTCTTTTTTCTTTATTTAAACAAACTTCAATCATTTTAAGTAAGGGACCCTGTACTTTGAGTAAGCTGTTGAAATCATTCTACAAAGGTGATAAATTTAAATGAGTGTACACAAAGCTGTTTCTGATGGATACTGACTTGCTTTCAGTTTCAGCAATCCCTCTCATAAAGGCCCTTTTCTGCACCACTTGCTTTAATGCTCTTTACATTTGATCATGTCACACTTAGAAATGAACAGGAAAAACTCACCCAGCTGTTACAAGCCTCCAGTGATTTAAGCTTACTAGGACAAGGTGGAAAGCAGAACTCAGGAGTTCTGAGCGATACACCGCACAAAGTCAGGTTTGACATTTCTACTGGATATTCACTGCAAAAGAAGCCCAAGCTATGCAGACACACCTCACATCTATGAAGTTGCCTGCTGCCTGAAAAGTGAGTCTGGGGCACCCTCTGGTGTCTGACGACTGCACTTGTCTTCTGAATCCCCTTATCTTTACTCCATTTTATCCAAGAGTCAAAGGGAAAACTAGAAAGACACACTGAACCCAAACCTCTGTGCACCATCCCTGACAACTACCCAGGCCAGAGCAATTCCAGCCAAGCCAGAAATTAGCATGTGATTTGGAGAACAACTCTATTAAAGAGAATAAATTCAAAATGAATATTTGAAGATGAAATATGCAATTTATTTTTTCCAGAGTACTCTAGCATATACTCTACAGAAATGTGTAGATTAGTTAACAAAAATTTAGATTTTTTCAAAACAGACTATTTCTTGACATGCCACGGTGCAATGTCCATTAGCTGAAACAACATCTAGACAGCTGGAATGCTTTGTGTTTTGTTGTGGTTTTTTCTGTTTGTTTGCTTGGAGGGGCAGGAAATCACCACTCTTTCTACTGCTTATCTTAGGCAACCTAAAACAGAGTGTTAAGGAGCAGACAAGGTCAAATTGCAGCTAATTAAGTACAGTTTAGTGAGCAGAATGTCTTCAAATCCTAAGCTAGCCTAGTGACACAATGGCAGAGGGAGTCAGGCTGGATGACACACTGCAATGAGAGTGCACAGTGAGAGCACTCTCGTTAGAGCCACATGTGTCACCACATCAATTACAAGACACGCTGTGTGTTTGTAACAAATTTAATCACAAAACCTGAAAACAGGCTATGGTGCCTCTCTCTGCCTCACACATGATCAGCAGTTGATTGATCACAGGTAAGAAAGTGTGATTATAGCAGTTAATAGAAGAAACACCAACAGTGTATCCAAAGACAAATTCTTCAGAGACAAGAGACTCTTCAATGAAAATTTAGGGTGAGTTAGAGATTTCCTACCTAAATTCTCATGGACTTGCTACTTTGGATATGGATTTGCTCATTGATATGCTACTTTGAAGATCTCTATCCAAAAGGAAGAAGAAAAAGCTCTATTGAAACACATTGTAAAAGCAGGTTTTTTCCTACACTATGAATTTAACAATTCAGGGAAAGACTTCCAAGAATTCAAATTTGTCATGTAGGACAGCTAATATATTCAATTTGGAAGATCATGGAAATTTTTTTTTTCTTTTTTGGGTATGAGTTTGTTTATTGCTACTTTTTTCTATTACAATATTTATAAAGGGTTTTTTTTAACATCACTACCCAAAATTACATCCCACATTACTTTCTAAAGTATATTTCAAAAGACCTTGAGGCAGATGAACAGAGCTATTGCTTTAATTTGAGTTTTTCATTTCAGCTTTTGGCAACTATTGTTTTTAAGTGTTCACTGTATACTGTGTGTTACTGTAAACAGCAGCAGCTTTCTGTGTTTATCAGTGCATTCAAAGCTGCAGCTTTCAACAGATGGTAAGTCAACTGGTCAACAAAATAGAGGTGTCATCATGTCTGCTTTTTTAACTTGGAAGAGAAATGTCAAACTTGCCCTGAAGTGGTAAGACTAATAATGCTGATGGCAGCCTGTACCTCTGTTCCAACATCAAACTTCGTTGCTGCAAAAATAATTTCTGCTTTTGAAAAGTTAATCAGTTGCCAGAGCTAAAAGCTGTAAGCACTCTTGCAGTCTAAAGGTCTAGAGAATATGTTAGAAATCATGATTAGAGATGTAGTCAAAGACTTTCACCCGTACACACAGAAACCAGGAGTTAATAAAAGATTCTAAAATGCAGCACAGACCTTTAGACAGGTTACAAGCCAGTTCAAGTAACAGTTCAATGCTATCAGACTATATGCAAAAAACAAGAGTTTCTATATGCTTTACTCCTGCTGAGAGACTTTACTACAAGATAACTAAATTAGTAGTTGTACTCATAGGATGGAAAACATGTTAGTGAAAAACTGACACAAAATCCAACCTCACCAGGGCAGTTTTCTTACACTAAGAATAAGTTTTAAGGTTACCCATTGCCCATGAGTAGTGTGACATGAAAAACATGTATTAGGAAAAAAGCTTCTGAAGAAAGTTGCTAGTATTTGGGCTCCACTCCCACCTCTATGCTTGTTTCTTCCTTTTGTTCCTTTCTATACTTAACTTCTGATATTGTTCATTTTTACCTGAAGGATGTTGCTCCATTCTCTTTCATTTTCGCTTTCTGAACAGGAGATGCTTGAAGTGACCATATTTGATTTCTTGGCAAGGTAATTTGCTTCAGAATGGAACCTAAAACAAAACAATGAACATGCTATAGTAGAAAGAAAAATGCTAAGACAACTGTTTAGCTAGTTCATTATTCTAAGCAAGGCTACTGCAGACTCAGTAACAACTAACTGGGTCCATCTGAAAACCAGACACTCTAGAATTTTACATTCTACAAGTTCTGTATAGCCCAAAGCCTCACACACTCCCAGCAAATTCCCTCCCTTCTGTGCCAACCAGAAAAATGTTTCCATGAAAACTAGCTGAGACAAACTCTTAATGTACATCAACCTGAACCTGTTAAAAGAAAAAGCAAAGCCTCATGAAACAACTCTCAAAATCATCAGCTCAGAGGAAGTTCACTGCAAGGAGCTCAGTCGTTGTATTTTAACAAGAACAAATATTTGATTGATGTGCACTTAACAAGTGCCAGAAGTAGATGTGACATTGATTTTCTCATCAGAGCTCCAGACAGCAAAGATGTTCAACTTAATGCACAGAGCTGGCTGCTCCAACAGACAGCCACCCTCTCGCATTCCTGCAATCCACCAACAGCCTGCATGCACTTCTGCACTCAGCAGTCCTCCCCTTTCTCCATGAAAGTAGTTCCCGCACTTTACCTGCAGGAAACTGGTTGGTTTGAACAAGTGTATTCAGTGGCACCTTCTTCTCAGCAGGTGTCTGTAGGGTGAGCACTGAGGGCTGTGGGAGTGTGGATACTTGCTTGACAATGGTTCCCGATGGTTGTTGGACTACCTGGAAGTGGAATATCCAATATCAACAGTTAGAAGAGCTAACAGTACAGAGAAGTAAACAGTATCAATGTTTCCTTTTAGCCAGGAATGCCACTGGGCAGGTATGCTTGTCTAGTTTCCAGTTTAAAGCAAACAGCATGCTCAGAAAAGGCCTTTTTTTTTTTTTTAAACTTTAAATCAAGAAATCTTAACAAGTGGTAGTGAGCTTTAAGCTCATTCAGTGAGCTCTAAAAGACACTTCACCCCTGTTCTATACTGATGACTCTGACAAGTTCCACTAATTATCACACAAGCCATTACACTGAGAGGCTTCCCTCTGTGTAAGTCTCGCTCAGCATGCTAACTATTAAAGAGTGAGTCTGCCAGTAACTTCAAAAGGATAGGTATCACAAACACCTAGTCAAAAAGGGAGAACACCAAAACAACTGAAGTCTCGCATGAAATACTGTACCTGCTAAGAATTAAAGAGTACATGCTATAAAATTACTGATGTTCTTTTGGAATTGCAACCTCAATTGTAAATTGAGACGCTGAGTTTCAAAGTGTTAAGCTAAAACACTCTAAACAGTTGCCAGGAACATGAAGTACTAAATAGCAACACCAATAGCAAGTAGAGCCCCTACACAAAGACATCAGTACACAGCTGAAGGGTAAAAAGGAAGGCAGTTCATAGTTTTGTTTAAAGAGACTCTTCAAAGAAACAAAACCAGACAGCAGGATGTCATCACAACACAGACCTACAGGCACAGCCCATAAATGCTAATCCTTCCTCTTCAGGGGCAGCTATTAAAATGCAAGAAAGTAATAAAATTGCAGCAGTAAAATTGCAGCATCCCTAAAAATCTCACTTCTAAGCCTCCTAGCTAGCAGAATGTGGGCTTCAGCTTTGATACATCTTTTAAAAAGTTCTTGATTATGGACAGTAGAAAGATGTTACTTCACCAAAGCATAAGATCAACATCTTCAGACTGAATTCTGGTTCTTTAGCAGCAGAAAACCAACAAAGAAAATGTCAGGGTCCAGAAGCCATTTTTCTCCTCTACATCTTTCATTCTTACTTCAAAAAGTCTAGAAGGTGCCTGCACAAGTGTAATTAAAGAACTGACAATTACAATACTTGAGAAATTAGGCTCTCTCCTGTCACTTCTCCCCTATTAATAAACATCATCAACATAAGCGTCACACATTCACAAAAAGATAGTTTGTGTATTAAAGAGTCAAATTTGTGTATCAAAGAGTCAAATTTGTGTATCAAAGAGTCAACCATCTCTGTACTGGTAGCACTAAGGCCGGGTGTAGCAGCAGTAATAGAATAACTGAGCTGAAAGTGGAATCTGAAAACCTGACAGACAACATTAATATCTAGAGGAGGAAAGAACGCAGGAATACAGGGACAGACTGTGGACAGAGATGAGGCTAACATATGAAACACTTCCTCATGGAGCAGAACAGATGCTAACATTCACTACTATGTGTTTATCCCAAAGCTCAGATTGATCTCTCAGAAAGATCTGGCTTCCAGAACTGCAAGTTGTGAATAATGTGAGCAGTGTCTTTTGTGAGTTCAGGTACTAAGGAGAAGCCAACCAGCTTGGACACACTACTCACAGGCTACACAGCACTAACACACACCTAGAGATCTTTCTTACCACCAGCAAGAATGATGCTTTATCTTCAGTGTGCAAAACACTGGAACAGCACAGGAGGAAACATAAGCATTCCAGACTGAGGTACAGCAGACAAAAGAACAGAGATAGCAATGTTACAACAATGGTCTAAGTGGAGACTGGGATGGAAGTCAAGTAACCAAGGAGGCGACATTGCCAAGAAACAGAGAGGATGTGCTGGCAGTAGAGTTCATTTTCTGTTTGCCATTCTAGCTCTAGACTAACAAAAGCTGGAAGTCCTTGAGAGTTGCAGCGGAAGAGAACAACACCGCTGGAAATTTCAACAAGGATCCAATGCCAGAATGAAGCATTACCAACATCAGTAATATCTGTGAGATTATCCTTTCTTCAGGCTAGCAGCAAGAAAATAATAAAGAAAAGCGACTTCTCCTTTGTGTGCCGTTAAGCAGGCTGACACAGACATCAGAATAAAATTATTGATGTTCTTAAGTTAAAAGAAATGCAACACAATATTCAGCTGACAATGAAGAGACAGCTGCCTGAAAGAGACTTTGATTAGCCCCACTGAACCTGTTTTACATTCATAAAACAAAGTCTGGATATCAGCAGAGGGATGCTGAGGTATCATCACACACAGGCAGTATTGCTTCATGAAGGAAGCCCCACTAATTGAATGCAAGAGCAATAACCAGGACAAAAAAAAAATAATGGAGAAGATTGTTCATTAAAGCTCAGCTCTGAGGGGACATGACACTAACAACTCACTAAGAACAAGCAGTTGCAGCAGCATAAACACTTCACTCCTTGGTTCAATCATTAATAATCTCCAGGTAGGGTGTCTCACTGGTAACTGAGGGGACTACACCATAAACCCCTAGCTGGTTATGCCTGACATGAAGCTGTAATCTCACAGCAGCTTTCTCAGCAATGGATGCCAGCATCTGGTAATATAAATTTTCATTTATGGTGCTTCAACAAGAGACAAAGCAATACTAGAGCAAGATAAACTCTATTTCCAAGATGACCAAGTCTTTGTAAGCCAACACCCTTAAATGAGGTGGTGTTAAGAAAGTCAGAGAAGAAAATACTTCAAAATGTGCAACTCTCACAGCACAGAAGTGCAATCAATCCCAAGAGCACCCTTGAAGAACAGGTCCTGAAGTGTCCACACAGAGTTTTGTTAATAATGCTACAGAAATGAAAAGTTTCATGTTGCATCACTCCAGTCACAAATTTGATATTAAAATACAGCAGTGCTGCATTCTTGAGAACCACCAACATTATAATGGAGCTGGCACATGAGAGTCCAAATTCTCTCAAGCACAAGAGGCCAAAATTAGAAAGGGGCATGCAGAGGGAGTGTATGGCATCAGACATCCCTGTGGGCTGAAAAGGGAAAAAATTGCTGGCAGCACTGTATGAACAGATTTGCACAGCTGGCAGTGTGCTTCCTTTTTCAGCTGGCAATAGGACCCTTCTGTTTAGGAAGGGCAGTCCAGATTTGTTTCCTTATGGGAGAAAATAGTCCCTCTGCCCTTTCAAGAAAAGGCATCTGGGAAGCCATAGGAGATACAGCCATTCCTATTAATTTGCCCTTTGTGCTAGTAAGTTGTCTGAACAAACACCAAGCTCCTGATATAGCTAAGCTGTGAAGCAGCCAACTCAGTCCTTCAACTGTATCTGAGAAGAGCAAGTATTTTAATCACTGTGCATACCCAGATGAGGATAAAAACATGTTTTGTATGCAATTCAATATAAGTAAGTACAGCAAAGAAAAGCGATTGCAGCAGAGTGCCACACTGCAGCAGTGTAGAGGCAGAAGCCATTTCTTGAGTTCACCAATACACCAAAACACAAAAGTGTTTTGACTCCTCTGTGTGGAGCTAAGCTTCCTTGCCTATTTGTACAGATGGTCAACCTTTCCCCTGGATTACAAGACTTGCTGTGTAGCCAACAAACTGCTCTCCTGCCCCTGTACTGCCTAAGAAATTCTCCTTTTCTTCTGGCTGGAATTTCAAATGTAGCCCTCGAAGACAATATGAGTACCAACTCCTTTTCTAATTTGACTTTAGCTACTACTAGCCAAGATTGTCAGTGCATATGCTTAATAACTTTTCTTTGGAGTTTTGGGGTTAAGGGTATTTTGCCTTTTTTTTTTTTTTTTTTTTTTTACCAAATCTACTCAGAAAAGGTCTCCTGATCCATCCCAGGGTATGTTCTTTTTAAGCAAGTCTGGAAAGGTGAAAAGCTCATGCTTATGCTAGCTTACGCTAACCATAGCATGAACTCTTTATTTAGAATGCAAGATTCTTGTATTACATCTACCTTATGCCCTTTGAAAGAACTAAAAAGGGGTCTGAACACTGTTAAATCAAGTACACATAATATCCAAGCTAAAAAGAAAACTCACACTGCAGATGTCCTACCATACCTGTGGAACATAAATCTGGTTTCACAGGAAGTCTAATAGATTTTCCCACTTTATTAAGGAAAAATAATTTTTACAAAGAATTCCTTTGCAAGAATTGAGTTCTTTATCTGCCAAAGGGAGACTAATTCTCTCAAAATACTTGAAGGCATTACTTACAGGTAGACCAGCTGGACACCATGCTACCTGGTATTCTAAACATCTAATATTAGCCAAACCTAATTTATCTCACAAAGTTGCTCTTCTGGGCGCACCTGTGATCCACAGTTTCTTGGTATTTAATATTAATATTAGCAAGAAGTTAACCTGTGCCAAGAATAAAAAATGTTAACACATTGCTTTTGAGGGTATTGTTTTAATAAGACAGTTATTCCTCCTGGAATTTGTTAGCTAATGAGGCCTGATAGAAAAAATTCACTTTTGGACAACTTCATAATTAACACATCTTAGTAAACGTGGAGGTCAGAACTCAGCTCAGAAAAGCTCCTTGAGGTAGCTCATGCATTGCAGATAACATATCACTGAACAATATCAAGCCACCTGTGCCTGCCAAGTACCCAGGGCAGGGACTACCAGGGGAGAGAGACTGGCATCCCTGGTGGCTAGCTGAGGCACAGCCCTAACAGGGCATCCAGGAGCAATTAATGTAAGTTTCTGTTCAGCACAACAGAAGTTCTCATCAGCAGTTTCTGTTTCTGACACTTGCATTTCCTAATCTTTCTTCCAGGTGCCTGGCTGTGGGCCTAGTGGGGGCTAGACCTTGTATCCTCCTGTGTCTCAAGATGGATGTTCAGTCTGGTGAAATGGTGGTCAACTCTTACAAGAGATCAAGCTGACAGCTTGGCTTTAGATTCACCTTTCCGGCAAGGGCTCAGCATTTCTAAACTATCACAAACATAACTGATGGACTCAAGACAGACTAGCTTCATATATTAAAAGAAAAAAACAAAAGAAGAACCAGAGGTCCAAACAGGCATGCTCTTTATTAAATGGCAAGAATCAAAGTAAAGGAGCTGGGTTGTTACAGAGAAGCAGAGAATCCACCTTACCAGCTGCTTCACTTTAACCACCTGCTGAGCACCCGCTGGCCGCGCCACCATGGAGCTGGGCTGCGAGATCTTAATACCAATTGGGGTTCCAATGGCTGGCTTCAGAGGCTGGAGAGGGTTTGCTGCTGAAGATGCCACTGCAGAGACCAGCACTGGCTTTGCAGACTGCAGAGAGGGTGCTGGCAGCGTGGAGGGGAAGAGCGGCTTGCCAGGCCGGCCAGCGGTCAGCCCGGACGATGCCACGGGCGTGCTGAGGACGGGAGCTGCGGGCCTGAGCGATGCTGGCCCCACAGCAGGGGAAGGAATGGCCTTCACAGCCTGCAGAGGAGCAGCTGCCGATGTGCTGGCAAGGACTGGTGTGATAACTAGAGGGGCTGTGGCTGCTGCAGAGGCAGGCACAGGTTTTACAGCTGGAAGAGCAGTTGTTGCTGCAGTCGAAGTTGCTGCTTCTGTCGCAGGAGCTGGTACTGCAGAGGGACAAGTGGAAACCACTTCTTGAGTTGGGGCTGTCTGCTCCATACATTGCTGGATAAAGCTCTGAGGATTAGGCATTAGTTGCCTTAGGGCAAGCACGCTTTTCTAAAAGAAAAATGAAAAAACACTGGATGTAGTAGCAGCAGAGTTTTCTACAATAATAATACATTTGTAACTGAATCCTCTTCTTAATTTTCCAATTAAATTTTTCATGAGACAATAAACAGCAAATGAGTTTTGCTAAATTTCTGGCACCTTTAAATTCATGACAATCCTGTTCAGTGAAGATGACAAGGAACACCAACACCAGCTGAGCAAAGGTCAACCATCCACAGCTACACTACACATAGTAATCCCATCTATAGGGAAACCCTTACAACTTTGTTCTTCTGTTTAGATTTTTCAATTTGGAATTTATGTTTCAGAGTAAGATTATTTTAACTGCTTTATTACCTCAAAGAATTTTGTTTTGCCAGAAAAACCCTGCTCTATTGGAACAGCTGTGTTTATTTCATGGAGCCTGATAGGGAGCTACCAATTATCCAATAAAGTCAGGAACAAGCTCTGAAGACAAGAATACCTCTATACCAATACAGCTGTATCTACACTAGGGGGGGATACCACTTTAATAATGTCTGTAGAGCTGCAGCAACACAACTTCAGCCACCTACTTCTCTGCAATAGGAGAACAAAAGTAAAGGAATCTGGCAACATCTCATTTTTACTACAGCTGTGTTTGAGAAGGTTAATGGACGGAATAATCTTCAAACTCTCTACAGATTTTTCTCCTTCACTGTTCATAATCTGCTATGGCTCTGAACCAGGGGAAAACAGTTCTGCAGCTACCTGTATATTCTTGAAAACCCTTATGTTTTTTCTTCCTCTCTTAACAGTTGCTAAAGTTTGTAAGAGCTCCTAACAAAGTGCTGCCACTTTGGACTTCATGCAAAAGGTGCATGTCTCACATGCCAGCTTATCAAGTAATCATATTGTTTCTACAACTGAGCCTTTTGCAGCCCATCTTTTTTTTAACATTCACTTCTTTTTCTTTTAAAAAGCTGCTTAGCTTCTGATGCAATTTATGTACCAAAAGCATCCAGCAGACTTGAAAATCAAGCAGGCTTCACAGCCAAAGCCGCTGTACTTTTTCCACCTCTTGGAACACACAAAACGAAACACATGCAAAACTTCATCAAAAACCTGCAGCTCAAAGATAAGAGCTGACTCCAGAGAGACCTCCCTAAAATTCCACTTCACTAGCTAAAAGTGGATTGGCAAAAAGCCGTATCACATTTCTTTCCAGACTCAAGCTGCAAACATTTCCCCCACAAACAAGGCCAGCATTGATCCTCTTAGCACCTTTGAGAAGTGCTCCTGAAGTCATCCTCCATTTGGCACTCAGTCCTGTCACAGCTGCTCAGTTATAGATCAGCCTAATTGTGTGTATCAACTGCACACCCTTACAGTGTTTCAGGAAAAGGCAATGTGGGTGCAAGATGTTTTAAAGGATTGGCAACACTGCAAAGTCAGCTAACTCTGACCAAGTCTGAACAACACTTCTGAAGTCACAGTGTCTCTTTGTTAATGTAGCACACAACAGGGAGAGAGCACCATGCCAAGGATTATGTGGTATGGACACTGCCCAAATCAAGGAAGCCTAGATGATGCCAGTACCTGGCAGTGCACTGCAGATGAAACACACAAGGGCTCTGCTGTGACAGGTCAGGGTCTGACCCATGCTGATGAACCCAACTTAACCCCTGCAGAATTGCCTTGAGTTCTCTGCATCAAGTGTAGCAGCTCTTCACATTGTTGGACGGCTTCTTAAAACAGCTGAGCACTTCTGTGAGTGCCAGTCACACTGACCCTGTACTCACAGCCTGGTCCTTCTGCAGCCAGAGCCACACTGGATGGAGAAAGCCCATTCTCAGAGCTGTTTATTTTTCTGGCTTTTGCATGGGCATTTAAGAAGCCTCCAAGAAATTAAACAGGCAATAAATGACCAATTAGAAAATTTTGGGTATCATAGAATCATCAAGGCTGGAAGAGACTTTTAAGACATTTAAGATCATCAAGTCCAACCATCAGTCCAGCACTACCACTGCATCCCCTAAACCACTAAATCTCACCACCTAGCACTAGATCCAGATCCTATTAAACACCTCCAGGGATGGTGACTGCATCACCCCACTGGGCAACCCATTCCAATGTCTGACTATCCTAACTGTGAAAATTATTTTTTCTAATATCAAATCTGAATCTCCCATCTCAGTTTAAAGAGATGACTGCACTCTTTCAGACTCATGGCAAATTTATTAGCAAGGCATTTAGAAGTTGGCACTGTAAGGAAAATTTTTATCCCAGATTTGAGCAGATTAACACCAGCCATCTAGAGCAAATTCAACATTAGCACATGCATTGTTATGTGGCCTGTCAAATATCAAGGAAAAGGGAAAATTCCAGGAAATCTCTGTCCCAGCTTTACCACTTAACTGTTCTTTTATTCATCATCATGCCTGTAATGAATGTACAGATCTAACAAACCTAAGAGTATGGTGTACATTGAAATTTAGTAAATTTAACATAGTTTTCCATGTTTTCACTGAGATTTAATGCTTGCTGTATAATTAATTTTAATTTGTTAATACCATTCTATAATATGATTAAGAGTCTCAAGGAAGCATTTTTTCCTTTATATGCTTATTTGCTTGAACAGAAGTAGAGTCCCTGGGATCCTTTTCCCAAGCTACAGTAGTCTTGTCAGACCCTTTCTGGAGCAAGGGGTAGAGATTTTTCTGCCTCCAGCTAAACATAAACAAGCAGAAGATGAATAGCTTTATGCAGATTCTTTGATCTTTAACATGGCATGAGCTTGTGCATCGCCACTGTTGTCAGCCTCCGAGTTAGAACTGCTACAATTTTGATGAGAAAGTAGGAGGTCATCTTAACACAGGTGCTCTAGTGTAGATTAGATGTACAGTTCCCAGCATATTAGTCTCCACTAACACCTAGAGGGCAATTACTCTACAACATTAGGAACACAGTATAAATTACTCCTCAAAAACTTCCCTTCCCCTTAAGAACTGCCTTTCCAAGCACAACAGCCACAGACGTATCCTGAGTACCACTCTTCAACTGACCTGAACAAATCTGAATGCCCCAACTCTTTTCTTTTCTGGTCCTCCTCCCTTCCCTCTTTAAATACTACATATCCATAATCAGACACTTACCTTGAGAAAAGGAACTAAATATGGTTGTGGAGATGACTTAAGCTCTATGTACAACTTTTTTGTAAATTCTTCTGGCTCAATTTTTGCTTCCTAAGAGGAAAATATAATTACAATAGTAAGTTATAACTGAATCCACCACAGTTTTTTTCCCAAGATGTATCAAAAGGTAATGGAAACTTGTATTATCATGGCATCGTTCAATTTCAGTACTCAAAAGCTTTTTTCCTGCTTTATTTAAAAAAGAAAAAAAAAGGGGGGAGTTAAGATAGAATAATGTTGTAATGTTCATATAGTATTGCCCAAGCTGTATATGCTTTCTTCAGCTACAGACAGTTAATACACTTAGGGATAGGTGTTCACACCCAGTCACTGAAGTGAAGGGATAGAAAGAAGTTAATAAGCAACACTGATCCCTTTGAGTATCCTGTTATTATGTAGATGTATTTTAAATCAACTACTAGTACTTCTTTCAGTAAAGGTAGTTTATCTGCATAAAAATAAACTTTGAGACATTTAAGACTAATGACAACTTAGCAGTTTTTATAAGACAATTCCAGACTACTGCATTCACAGCATAATAGAACATTTAACACACTCTTTCCAAAGCAATCAAAACATTTCTGCATATCCCCAGGTAACAGTCGTCTGAATTGCAGAGTACTGTTTCCTTTCTTAATGCTTTCCAGCCTGTCCCAACACAAACACCTGACTCAGGGGCTCAGGAGGGTTAGGAAGCTGCAGCAAACTTCTGTGACCCCTCAGTTGTACACAGGGCTAAGCCCCAGACTCAGCTGCTCTTCCTCACCCTCCCAGAGTCATCAAGAACACTATCTCCCCCAAGAAGGTACAGACACAAAGAGCAGCACCAATCTCCATTTCTGCTGAGAAATTATTCCTCTCACTCATATTCACCTCTGGAGAAACTGTTCCAAGTTGCTACATAACCAGAACAGGGATTTTAAAGGCTGTGTATTTGCAGACAAACAGAGCTTCCAGCAGCTCTCCCATTTAGCCACTTGATCTGTTGCCTGTTAGATCTCACTGAGATGCAGACAAGGGTCACCCAGGTCTCACTGATGCAGATGCAAGCGGTTTGGCACACTGAGGTTTGGTGCATACAGGGTGCTTGACACCCACTTCATGAAATGCTGCCTTAAGGACCATTTTGCTTCCCAGTTGCAATTTACTCATTTCTCTCATACACACAAATCACACACATACCAAATAGTAGATTTTTAAACTACTACAAAAAGCAAACAAGTGCGCAGTTAGCAATGTATTAACGTCTCTTGATAACTGCTCTTAAAAAAAAAAAATCAAAAAAAAACCAAAACCAAAAACCAAGTACTGTAAGCACAAGAAAGAACAACTCTATTTTTCCCAGAGATGGAAGGTGTATATTCCAGCAGGGACAGAGGCTAAGGAATCTAATTTTTGCAAGGCTGCATTCTTCAAACAATCTGCTCTCTGAAATTACACCTGTCTACATCACACCTTCCTAGACTGAAAAGCCCTTTGGTCCCACTAGCAAAGCCACCCCCCTCCACCAGCACACAGCCTTCTGCTACGGTGGAACAACAACACAGCGGCAGCGGTCAAATGCCATGACAAGAAGTGGCAGGAGAAATCGTTACCAGGAAAACCCAGCTGTGCTGGGATACAGCACAAAGCACCATACGGAAGCCACCTGCAAAGAGAGAGAGGTTGGCAGCCACCACATTGTTTGCTCCATCCTACTGTTTTAAGCTATTGATAATGTCATTCTTGTTCCACTGCTCAGTTCTGTCTAGGAGTAAAGCAGTAGTATGGACTTAGGACTGCATTGCAACCTCCACATCACATTCTTGCTACTGAGGACTCAAAACTACACTAACATGAAAAAAAAAAAAAAGACCCAGAAGCTGTGTTAAGGCTACCAGCCCCTCCTGCTAGCACTTACCTGTGTGCATAAAGTGAAACAGAAATGTGAGGGAGGACAATAAAACAACATGGGATTTAGTTAAAATAAGATTTATAATGTAAGACTTAACAAGGGTCAGATGCATTCAGACACAAATCCAACTCTTGAGCTGTTAAAAATAAAATCTACAAAATAACAGGAACAAAACTGTGATAAAGTAAATGTCAAAAATCCATAGACAAATGATGCAGCCTTTGTTTTGAAAAAAAAGTCTCACCAGTAGGTTTTGCACCAGACTCTTCACATTCTGCCCCATCTCAAGGGCTTGAGGTCCGCTAGATGCCAATTTTACTAGCGTAGCAAGAAAATTCTTGCATTTCTTCACATTCTCTAGCATCTCCTAGTGTGGAAATAAAGAGAAGACTGTTAGATGTTGCACTGTCTCTTCAACCTCTGATGAACATACAGAATGTTAATTTTTAATTAAAAACTTTTTTTTCCTTACTGTAGAAGCGCTGGTCTGTGCTACTGTTGTGCCCTCTGCTTTCACAGAGACTGCCTTTTGGGAGATAGCTTGTGCAGGTGGTCCTGTAACTGGAAGTTTTACAGGTGTTCCAGTACTCAAAGGCTTTACAGCAGTAACTGTAGTAACACTAGCTGTTGCAGCTGCTGGCTGAAGAGAAAAATTAACACTTTTTAACCAAGGAACAACGTGACAAACATACTGGATTCTGCTAGCATGTAAGGTAGCAACTACCCTGGATTCTGCTAGCATAAAAGGTAGCAACCTCCCTCCACATTGCTATTTGAAACACAAAGAAACAATTCTTCTCCTTGTTTTTAGAGTTTAGATTAATTTGCTTTGGGAAGCTCCATTTAATACAGTAAGTTCTATTTACAAGTCAAAGGTGTTGGGAAGAAATTACAGAGGCACATCCAGACCAAAGCACTGCTGGCAACTTTGAAGGAAGAGAGGAAGGTAAAATTATCTTGAAGAAACCAATATATTAACTTTGGCAGGCTCCTACAATCTAAGACTAATGGATTTTGGACAATGCTAAGCCAGATGATACTATTCTGAAGAAAAGCAGAACCAGAAGTGATTATTTATCTTCCAGTCTTGCCCTGAAGCTCCTCTCCCAATGGCAACACCCCTTGCTTCTCCTATTATACACAGAGCAGGCAAAAGACATCACATCCACTTTGGAAGGATGCAAGTGCCAGCAGAAGCAGCCAGCTCAGCAAATGGACCTAACAAGTTCTTCCTGCCTTTTCCTTGTGGGCAGCAATTTGGAGCTCCTTCTCCTCTGCCCTTACAGAAATTCTCACAAAATTCAGTTATTTTTTGAGGTCTCTTTTTAAAAGCTCATTACAATTTACCAACAGATTCAGAAGCTCCAGCAACAGGAGAGTAATTAAGGCTTAGGAAAAAATATCTCCCTTCTTTACAAACTAGGCTAAATCTAAAATCCACTAAACTGAAGTATTTCTACCTCAGATTTTAAAGAGAACAAACAAACAAACCATAACCAAAAAAACAACACAGTTCATTTGATACAACAGAATAAATACAAATAAAAGAATCTGCCCATGCAAAAAACCACTACTTTTGATTCCTCAACTTAAAGCTAGAGGGAACTCAGGAGGCAGAGTTCCAGGTTAACATTTGAAACCTAAAGTTGGGTGTCATCTCTCGTCCAAGCCTGTGAAGAGGAAGGGAAAGTCTGGTTTTGTAGTCCAAATTCTAGGTTCAGATCTGCGCTATGTAATGGCTTCCACTGACTCTTAACACATTTAAGCACCCAGCTTAGTCGAACAGGCACAACTAATACTGCTAATAGCATCAATCATAAGAGAGTTAGACAGGAGTCTAACTTACCCTACCATGGATAAAACAAAAACTAATTAAAAGTGGGATAGACATCTAGAATAGCAGTCTTTCAGGACAGGGAAAATTAATGAACAAACATTTAAAGGTAAAGCAAAACCTTAAGAAAAATTGTAAATATATGACAAAAGTGTTTTCTAGGTGGGTGCCCTCCCCTCCCCAAGCTGCTGCCAGCTTGACATGAAAGCAGCAGGCAGCTACCAGAAAGCTTTCTAGCCTAGGCTCCCACTGTTGGTAACACTTTAATAGCTCTCTGCAGGATCTTTGCCACCACCACTGCCTCTTCCAAAGATGAGGCTCAACAGCTCTGGGACCACAGGGAGGCAAACTGGGCACAAGAATCCCACAAACAGATGGGCAGGAGGAAGACGGAAGGGGACACAGTACAGATCTGCCAAGCTGCAATGCCCTGGGCTTTTAAAAGTCGAAAACAGGAGCTGATCTCTTGCAAATTCCAGCATGCTTACACATCAAGACTAGAACAGCATTTTATCAGCTGAGGGAGGAAAAAACAGGAAGTCTGCTGGACCCTTTTCCCAGGAAAATGAATATATGGGAATTAATTTCTGTCATCTGCCATCAACCTTTTTCACTACTGACAATTCTCATTCTCACTTTGAGCAACAGAGAAACGGTCACCACAAAAAAAATGGCATTAATCCTGCATATTTTGAAGTCATTTCAAGAGAAGTGCTCTGCATCTAAATGAAAGTGCCCCAGCATGATGCTAATTAGACACTTTGCAGCTTCGTTACCCCATCTGGGAAACAGGTAAAAAATAAGAATGTGCAAGTAATTTTGTCTAACCCCATAGCTTAAACATTCAGGAAGTCAGAAAAGGGAAATATTTTCACTGATGAGAAGAATAATCCTGCAGTCAGTACCTACAGAGTTTTGCAGAGTGTTCCAAGCTGTATTTCACACAAGATTGAAGATGCACAGCCAAGCCAAGGATTATTTCCTCTCTACTCTCCACCACTTTCTGTGGTGACATCACACTTCCACACCAACACTCCTATCCTGTGACTCCAAAAAATTATCAAGACTAAGGTCAGGAAGTTATTTTGAGACTGATGAATGAATTGCTGCCAAGGAAATCAGACTCAAGGGCTCTGCCATCCTTTCTCCAGATGGTTCTGTCAACTTTTTGCACTGACTCCGTTTTCTGCACTCTTCTCTTGTCCATGCCAGGATGAGGAGCAACATGACCACATGATGGCATGATAAATCCACATTGCATCTATTTACTCTTCATTGCACAAGGAGCTTGTACAGAGGGCTTTGCAATCCTCTGTAAAACAGAGGGGCTTCAAGGATGTCACAAAAAATACTCCAAGTCTATGTCTTTAAATATCTCAGAAGAACACAAGTTCAATAGACTACATCAAAACTGAATTAAAGTACAGAAAAACCAAGCCAAAGGCAGATAAAAGTTTTAAAAAGAGAAGTTAATAGCATGATGAATCTCAGTGTTTACCCACATGAGAGTGTGAGGACATATGTGACTTCATCCAGCAGATGATGGATGAACTTCATCTCTTTTCCCCAGTGCAAGGGTAGTATAGTAAATAACTATTGTTTTCATATACTAAAGACCTCTATTCAGAGATCACAAATACAGGGTTTGCAAGTTAGTATTCCAAAGCAAAAGTAAGGAATATCTATTACTGTATTCAGACACAAAGTGTACACTGTTTCCATTCTGAGCAAAATAGAAAATGTATTAAGAGAGGCCTCTAGGTTTGCCACTTTAGCACCAACATTATCCATCTGTAGTGAGAGGGAAGTGAAAAAAGAGCACAGAGTGTGAGTAGTTTTCAGTTGCTGATACAGAAGAATAGAAGAAGGATGAACTTGTTAGTCAGACTGTTACCACTGTCAGCACACACATCCCCCAGTCCTTCAAACATCCTCAGGTTCAAGAACATACATCCAGCATGATTTTTTGAATGACTGATCCTGCTCGTTTACAGAGTGTTTTGACAGCTGCTAAGCTGTTTCCTTCAAAGTCTTGTTACAAAATACAGATATGAGCCAGACTTCTTCATGATTTCTCCTCCAGATTATGAGAACAAAACACACTATCTGCAGAAAAATGTAGGTTTCTTTTCATTCCACACCCTTATCCAGAAGTCTGGTCCCCAAAAACAGAGGATGAACCATATGTAGGAAAAATCTCATACTCTGCAGGTGAAAAAAGCCTCTTCAGAAGACTGCTACAACATTTTTCTCTAGAAAAAGCCAAACAAAACCTAGGAAATAAGACAAAACTACTACCTAAAAATAATGAGGCATTTTCAACCACTGCCTATTTACAGTTGTACCTGTGGAACCCATCTGCCACACTCAATTAGAGAACAGGTCTTCAGCTATGACCTTCCTTCAGCTTATAATGAGGGGAAAAAACATCACACACATGAAAAACAGCTTGATTGGTGCAGACGGCTCATTTTCCCCTCAACATCATCTCAGGTATATCTTTTTCCCCACTAAGGAATCAGGGGAAAATGTGCTCCAACAGGAGCACATCTCCCAGAGAAGATTTAGCAAGAGATTGAAGGAGCTCTGTCACAGCATACAAAAACACTGGAAATAGCTCTCTGAACTTATTTATTTTATTCATTGTTCATGTGCTTTCTAGTGTAGTGAGATAAGATTATCTGACACATGCTGACAGAAGCCTAATTAAATTATGCATTTTAAAAAAACAGATTTGGGAAATAATTTGTTATGAGGACAAAGGTTACTAAGCTTACTGAAAACCTGATTACAGTTAGAAATAACAAGAATGCATCCATATTTTCTCTAGTTCTTTCTGTCACTCATTCCACCATACTATAAAGCTTGCAAAGTACCTGTATTACAGCAGGTGTCTGAACAGTAGAAACCACAGCATTTGTTGTTTGAGATAACGTTTTCACAGGAGCAGCTGCTATTTTCTTTACTAACTGTGTGCCAGAATTCTTTGAAAAAATAAAAATAAAAAATAATTACACATGGGCAGAGAACAGATGTCAGACAAGTCAATGACAAAATAGGCATTGAAGCTGGGGTCAGATACAAACAGAGATACATTCTCTTACAGTAACAACACAGGTGTTATTCACACAGTCCATATAGTTTAAACACTGCTCAACAAAGCTCTTTGTCAGTTTAATATTCAATAACAGATTCAGAGACACTTAGAGATAATGCATCATCAGAATAAAATGGTTAAAGAAATATATAAATTGTTACTTTTTTGTAGCTCCTTAGTCTTGTGTGCTGACCAAACTACAAGAGATGGAAGAAAAAGGCAGCAGAGTTAAGGGAAGGAGGAATATCCTAGGGACATGGGAAAGGTCCTCAGCTTTACTCAGCTTCGGAGAAACATCCCAACAGAGGATCACAAGGTTTTAGATACTAGCAGTAACGATTTAGGCAATTCTGGCTGGCAATTTTTTTCTTAAAATGGTTTACATCATCATCATAATCAGAGAGGAGTTCACTAATTTGACCTTTACCATTTACCACATGTAACAGCTCACAAGTTTTTTCCCAAGCAAGAAAGCAAAGCATATAGTGATGTTTAATGGTGCAAAACCAAACACCATCACCCCATTCAGAAAACACTCAAATGCTTATTTAACCCTCCACAACTTATTTGCAAACCCTGTTAGAACTACATACCATACACTATGTCAAACTGAAGTTATGAGAGAAGTTACCTGCACAGCACATATTCTGACTGCAGGTGTGCTGGCTGGCACAGATGGTCTCACACTTGTGCTGTTTTGTGTCTGGTTCTGTGGTTTTGCTATTGACTGTTGAGATACCAGCATTAGGTGACCATTACTGCTTCTGATAAGAACAGTTCCTGTTGAAAAAAAAAACACATTCAGGCTATGAAATTAAGTTATATTATGGCTTTCCTATATTTCTGTGGAAGAAATAACTAGACCACACTGATAATGTAATATTTACTTTATTACTCCATGGAACAGCTGCCAAGAAATATAAGAATTAAGTGCACATCAGCTTTACTATGCATCTTATGACAGAAAAGAATTCCTAAATTCAAGAGAAAAACTTAACCATTGGCCATGTTGAAACACGGTGTGCATACAAGATGCAAACTGCAAAGCAGTTCACCATTTGAGTCAAAAAGATATTTGGAACATTAAAAAGACAGACACACAAAATAATCACACACACTGGGATTACTTTAGCACTAATTTTAAGCAGTTCTTCAACCTGTAAAATTCATCACTGCTATCACACTTGGCTGCCTCTTCAGTTTCTGAACATTTAGGCACATACTTAGAGGTGAAAACAAAGCTTAGAGAACTGCAGTGGAAACTGAAGCCTGATTAGTATCAACTCACCTACCTCCAACAAGACTATCCTCCCCAACCAAGAGGGCAGTGGTCTCCCATGAAAATCAAGGTCACTGTGGTATTTGAAACTGTCCCTCTGTCAAGAGTGTGTCCAAAAGCATTAAACCCCATGGTTTTATTGAAGCAGGGAGATTGCAGTGGGAAAGAATTAAAAACAAAACAGAAAGGGGAAAAAAAAAAAAAGATCATTCAGCTACTAAAGCCTCCTCCCCTAAGGGCTCATCTCTGAAAAATTCAGAGGACTCAATCACAAATACAAAATGCCAGCTGGATGGATACTTGGTCTGTACCATGTGAGATCCTTCAAGAGAGCTGCAGACAATCCTACCTTTGTGCTGTCTCACCTCCTTTGCCTCCAAGAGCAGCAGCTGCTGCAAAGTCCACCACTGAAAAGACCACCCTCAAACACCCTCAGTTAACACCGACCTTTCAAATAAAAGGAAGGAGGAAGTACAAGAGAATCCAGATACGTAATTAAGACTTCCTTAAAGAAGGTTTCTGGAGGACTGCATTACACTTTCTTGCAAGTTATCCAATGTCTGAAACCCAAATCTTCTAGGCACACTTAACGATCTTTCCTAGTGTGAAACAAGACTGCAATGAAAGTCTTTTTACTACTTGGTTAGTCTGAATACTGTCAAAATATAACCATACAATACAGCCTAAACCACTGCTTCTGTCTGAGTTTAAATGCATACAACAGAAAAAGCCACAAGCTCCACAAGTTGAGTTTTGTTGAGTATGTTTTGGTTTTTTTTTTTTTTAACCACATGCTTAGAAACAGCTTTTCATCCTCCACATCTAAAAGCATAAGAGGATATTGCAAGACAACACAAAACCTGGTGTAAAATTCTGTAACATCAACATATTGCCATTTACATAGCAGACACAAGCTGAGAACTGCAAGAGCAGCATCTACATGATCCCCTCCTTTCTCAAGAAGCTTTTACTACATGGGGCAGATGCACAAGGCAAGTTGCATATTCAGAATAAACACTGCTAACTCCATCTGACAAGTCGGCTTTCTCCTCCTCCACTGATGACTGGACTATAATTATATTTAGGTGCAGATGGATCATTTCATTTAATCAATGAATAACCGGAATTATAGAAAACATATTAGATTTCTCATTTTCTTTTCACGCCATCTTATTTAGACAGTGATTCATGGCAAACAATTTATCATCAGCCAGAAAAAGGGCATTGTTTCCCTTGTTCAGACCACATGCTTATGCAGATTTCACTGAAAGAGAGAAAGCTGACCACATTTTACTAGCAATAGCATTTCTCTGTGCTCTAGGTCTACATTCAGAATGGCAGAAGGGCTGCTACTGGAGATTTTAGGCTTTTCTTTTATAAGCCTAGTTTAAAACATCACCGACAGCTCTACTACTTTGGGAAGGCACATATAAACTTAGGATTTCATTCCTTTAGAGGTTTGGAATGCATTAAGAGTTAGTTTTCATGTACTTGGATATTTTGTCACTATTCATTATATTTGTCTGTTAAGTCAAATTACCAGAAGTGCATTTTCTACTTCTGCATTTGAGAAACCACATTGATACCAGTCAACTTGATCACAGGCCTGGTACTGGTTTTGCACTACTGTTCTGCATTTTCAGTTGGCATTCACCAGAGATCGAGACCCTACTGGAAAAGTATCCCATCCTCCAGTCACCGGAACGGGGTGAGTTTCCAGCACAATCTACTTGCTTGATGGGAAATTACCTCAAGAGCAAGCTAGAAAGTTTATGCAAATACAATACAGTTTGTATGTAAATTCATTAATATCACCAAAAAAGGTAAACAAGTAGCCCCTTTATATTTGAGCAGGATAGCAATGATCCCAAAAAGGATGTAACCCAAAATATAAAGCAACTTTCCCCCTAGGCAACACAAGGACATCCACACTAAATGAAAATAACTTGGTGAGAGGAGCATCCACAGAAGTTACCTAAGGCCACTCCAGCGGCCATAGCCTTGATTGGAACATTCAACTATGATAATGCCTGTTACTGAAATACAAGTTGGAGTAAGAAATTGTTCCCCTCGGAACAAACATTCATTTCCCTATCTTTGTTCCATGTGGCAGAATTTTTAATAAAGCATTGTAACCTTTTCATGGCAGCAGCTCTTTGTGACACTCACAAAATTATAACTCCAAATCAGTATTATGGTAATCTACTAACTACTGTTTCTGCAGACTTAATGCTATTGATGCCTGATGCACAGATAAAGCTGAAGGCAAATTTGAAATAGCTGCTAGAGCTACAGTTCCACACAATGAAGAGCCACATCTTGTCCAAGCACAAGAAACAGTTCTGGGCAGTTACAACCTAATGTCACAAAGGGACAGTAAGCTGACACATGAATTGCTTGAAACACTTCGAAAGCTGTTGAGAACAGCACTTCTTTTTTACTTCCCATTGCCACAATTTAATTACAGTTTTTCACAACTTTGATACTCCCCTTCCACCTGGAAACAAAAGCAATAACCCCATACTGCAGCCAATTGCACAGACTCCAAGAGGTGGCACAGGAGGTCTCTTAAGACAGAAGAAGAGGTTCCATGGCTCTCCAAACCAATGCCTGAAGTCTCATACACTTTATACAGCTGCACAAGTGTGAAATGAGGGAACAGCAGGTGATGGTAACCTTGAAGCTCTCAGTAGAAAGGTCATGTAAACAGACTTGTGCAGCTACCAAGACGCTACTATCAGAAATGAAGGTAAGTGCAAGAATCCACATTCTTCACTTGGCGGGGGGGGAGATAGTACTTCTTATCAAGAGCTGTTTTCATGTTCACTAGAAGGCAAATACTAACAAAATAAATGTGAAAACACATCATGTCTTGCAGTCACTGCAACTCCACAAGAAAATGGGAAGAAAGAGGGAACATACAAAACAACACAGGACCTCTGAACAACTGAAGCATAAAATTTCAGCTAACACCTCTCATCACTGCATTTAAAAACAGAAAAGGTATTGGCAATCTGAGCAATATATCAGCATCAATCGTAGCAAATGAGCGATGAAGCATCCTCATAACACTAGAGATGCCCTCTTTTGGGCTGAACTTCCTAGAACATTGTTTACTGGAGTTGTTTCAGAGAACAAGAACGACTTCCTCACTATTCACTCACTTTGATATGAAGAGCAAGGCACAACCCCTTTGTGGCTACAAAGCTGTTCGTATTTTCAAACCAAAGTGACCAGTTACCATCAGGGATTATTTCTTACATGCTTCACGGGAGTACTCAGATGTCTCTTGCAGATTAAAAAAAAAACAAACCACATTTTGCAATGAATTGAGATTTCTGTCCTTAGATATTTTGCCTGTCCGGCCAAAAAACGTACTTTGCAAAGTTATTTGGTTCTCCTACAATGGCTGAAAAGGCAGTTAAAACACAATCAGCTGTTTCAGCCATTTGTTCTCTGCACATCTTTCTTCAGCTGTAACCCTGTGAAGGGCTCCCTGGAGGGGAAGTACCTGACAACCAAAACCCAACTCCGTTTCTTCCAAAGCTAAACAGAAAGAGTCACGCTATACCTTCCTGCTTTGAAGAGGTGTCATTGAGATCTACACTCAGTGCCCTGCCTTCTCCTGGAACCAGGGCTGCAGACAACCAGCCTTGAGAAGGAGTGCCACGCAACCATCCTGCAAAGCTCTGGCAGCCACCACACAAGTCAGCCTCTCCCTCGACATGTCAGCACTGTGAGCAATGGAAACCAGAAGCCTTCTGATGAAATTTCATTTTGCTAACTTGACATCCCTCTGCTACAAATTTTCACTGTCCCAACACCATTGGTGAAGGAAACCCAACTTTTTCTGAACTTGGTTTAGCTCCCAACCTAGGAACCAAGAAACACAGGTCAGCAGGAGGAGCAGCTTCCAGATACCTCTGCATTTTAACTAGAAAGCACCTAAGCCTCACTGGAGCCAGCAGCAAGCTGGGGGATAACAGCAGAGATCTGTTTATGCCACTGTATGTAATGCCACCTGCATGGGTTTCACTGTGTTTCAGGGAATAGTGTTAAGGAAACCACAATGTTGTTAACACAAACCTGTGCTGCCAACTGAAGCTCTGGGCTTCATCCAGCAGCACTGAACATCAATACGCTAAAGGCATCCTACCGCAATGGCAACTTCCACCACATAAGACAAGCCCAAGACATTTCTGAAGGGGAACTTCCCCCAGGAATTTCCTGAGATGAACCAGCTGGCATTTGTGCTCCAGTGAAGATACACCTTATGTTGTTACTACAGGTGAAGCTGAAGTTGTCAAGTTAAGCCACCATTTTGATTACAAGGTTTCTAACCCAGCTGCTCAACCAAACCGCTCTTGGGAGCTGCTGCTTAGGGAATAACGTGAGGAAATGAAAATAAGTCTTTTGCTCCTATAAAATACAAGCTAAAACAAACCACAATGAGACCAAGCTCATTTAAGAGAACACAAGTCATAGAAGCTGTCTTCATAGA